CAGCGGAGGACTCCAGCCCAAGGAACATCAGCGAGAATTCTTGCTAAGGGAGCAATGATTCGGTTGGTTAATTTGAAAAAGTGACTTTGCAAATTATTTCCTGAGAAGGTCTGCAGAGATTTGCGACTTTTTAATTTGCATTTATTCATTTTTCTTACACATCTTCCCAGGAGAACAGCATATATATATATATAATATTATATATATATAATATTACACCTGCTCATTTAAAGCATCGTTGTTTTACTCATATCACAATCCCAGCTTAGGGTTTGTAGCTCTCTGCACTCCTGTTTATGGTGGTTTACAGGACATTAATGGTTTTCACAGCCTCTCAGGGCACACAGTTTGTCACCCTGTGGTGACAAACACCTCTCCAAGGCCCTGTGGGCCACATCTCCCAAAAATGCAGCTGTGGGCCTGTTCCAGCAGCTGATGCTCCTGCTGCTGGTTAAAGTTTCCAGCTTTATTCTGAAGCTGCTGATGGCTTGATGTGTTTTAATTAATGTGGGAGGCAGAGCTTTCAGCACTGAGGGATCTTCTCTGCAGAGCTGTGCCTGTGGTGCAGGGCAGGTTTTGGACTGGTGTTTTTGGGCTGGCTGCAGTGAGGGTTGGGGTTTAGTGCTGAAGGGGGGCTCTGTGGTGCTGGGGTGCCACTGACCCCTCAGAGGAGGATGCTGCCTCAGCTCACATCAGTCCTGGGATGTTTCCCTAATTTCAGCAGGATCTGGGATGTGAAACCTTCCCAGCACCTCCCACCAGCCACCTCTGCCATGCTCTCATTCATTTCCCCTCCCTCTCCCCAAAACTGTGGAAATGTGACACCCTGGGGTCCCCAGGCTCTCCACCAGCATTCCCCTGTGTGACCCTGGCACTCCTGCCTCCCACAAGGATTGAGGGGATGGTTTGGAGGTGACTTTAATGGACAATAAAATTGTGGCTGGTCCCAGGAATCACCAATCCCTTGTGGCTGAACAGCACCTGGGCTTGGGGATGGGCTCCTTTGCTTTTCCCACTGCAGCAGGTGATGGATTCTCTGCTTCACAGGTGTTTGTGGTGTTCACTGCCCTTTCCAGTGTCAGCCTGGTTAGGGGAAGGCAGAGCCTGAGCTTGGGGCAGGCAGTGGATGTAGGGAGGTTTTGTCTCAAAACAACAAACACTGAGGGAGGTTTTATTTCAAAACCACCTTGCAGGGCACCCCAAATCCTGTTTTGCTGGTGCCATACTCTTTGTGCATTGTCACCAGCATCCATCCCATTTCCCATCACTCCAGGAGCCTTCTTGGGCTGTGGGGTGGGAATTGAGGGTGCCTTTACCAGAAGGCAAGTGCCAGACTCTGAGTTCTGCTGTGCCAGGAAAATCCCTGGCTGAACCTTCCAATCCTGCTGCACTTGAGGCCAACAAAAATCAGGAGGTCTTGGAGCTGGGCATCAAATCACAAAGTAATTATCTTACAGCATAAAGTAAAATTTTAAAATTGTATTTTTCTCTTGTATTGATTATACGTTTTTTCTTTACTTACATTTGTATCTTACAAGAATTGGAAGTTCTCAGTTTCTCTCAGCTTGTGCTTCACGACCTTGCAGGAGCTCCTCAGAGAGAACCAGCTGAGGTCTTTCTGATCTGCCCTGCCTGTCTTTAATAGCAATAATTCCTGGGAAGAGGTTGTGTGTCTGCTCTGCACACGGCTGGGGCTGTCCCAGGGGAAAGGAGCGTGTCTGGAAAGGGGGAGCAGACACAGCTCCATGGACGCAGCTCCCAGCATCAGCAGGGCTCACGTGGAGCCAGGGATGCAGCCGTGCTGCTGACACCAGGCTGAGGGCTAAAACTGCTGGGTTTCCCTGCCCTGTGTGCCCGCTGCAGGGAATTCTCTTGAAAAACAAAAAATTCCCTGCAAGAGGAGCAGGGCTGGGCGATGGCGTGGCAGAGTCTGCCGGGAAGGATAAAGGATGTGCTGGCTGTGCCGGGATGAGGCTTTGGCTGCTCCCTGGAATGCTGAGCGCCCTCCCAGTGCTGAGCGCTGCCATGGCATCCACGCAGAATTCCCAAATCCTCTCCCCCGTGCCCTGAACAGGACCCTGGAGCATGGGAGGGGTGATGGACACACCTGGGGCTGTCACACGGTGCTGTCCCACCACACCCCAAACTTGGGCTTTGCAGGGTGTTGCTGGCTGAGAACACGAATCAAAAATTGGATGTGGGTCTGATGAAATCATGGCTGTCTGTAAAACAGCTCCCTGGCTTGGAGAACCACTCCCTGGCTCGCCTGGGTTTGAAGCAGCAAAATTCTCCTTGAGTGTGTTGGATTTGTGCTGAGGGTTGGAGCTGTTGGCGTTTGTTCCCTTGCCAGGGACAGCACTTCCCCTCTCCAGCTCGAGGTGGGTGGGTGGAGAAGCTGCCCCTTGCCAGCAGTGGTGCCAAAAGTCAGAGGAGGCTCGATTGTGAGGGCTCCACAGAGGCTGAGTGGTTTTCCAGAGGCAAAGTCACTTTGGGGCTGGATGGGAGCATGTAGTCATGGAGGGAGGATAAAGGTATTTTTAGCAAGGAGAAAAGCAGCTCCCCTCCCTCCCTGTGGGGCTCTAAAAAGTGCTGTGCAAGGGACAGCTTGGATACTCCCAAGTACTGCATAATTTTAGGGATATGTAAGTGTAGGTTTTGATGTGATTTTGGGAAAAAAATTCTTCCCTGTGAGGGTGGGGAGGCCCTGGCACAGGGTGCTCAGAGCAGCTGTGCCTGCCCCTGGATCCTTGCAAATGTCCAAGGCCATGTTGGATGGGGCTTGGAGCAACCTGGGATAGTGGAAGGTGTCCCTGCCATGGCAGGGGTGGGATGAGCTTTAAGCTCCCTCCCAACCCAATCCATTCCATGATAAACCTACAACTGATAAAGCAGGAGCCTGGCAGGCATTGGAAGAGCAGGAAGCACCAGTTTGTACTGGAAAAGGATGTTCCTTCAGGGATTGATTCACAGAAAACCCAGCAAAATCCTTAATACCCAGGGTGTCCCACCCTGCAAGGGATTTTTCTGCTGCTTGAGGGAGGGTTTGCTCTTGAGTCTCCATGTGACATTAGGGAGAGTTTTGGGTTTGCTCTTTCCTGTTCTCTGTTTGGAAGGGGCAAGCTGTGTTGCAGAAATGTCAGAAAAGCAATCTGAAAACAAACTGGCAAAGTCCCAGTGGGAACTGGAGCTCCTGGGAAACCTGGAGCTGCTGCTGCCAGTAAAGTTGGAGCCGCAATCCAGGATTTGCTGTTGCTCATGGGGGCTTATAAATAACCTGTCTATGGTCATTCAGGGCCACCTGGATGTCCAGCCCAGCTCCTCAGGGTTGTGCCATTCCCAAAACACCCGGGAAAAGCCACAGTGCTGGTGAAGATCCTGCTGGTGTGGCTTGTCCTGTCTGCGGGAGCTGCCCTGAGCCAGTCCCGGCATCGGTGAGGTTTTATTGGATTTCCTGTTTTGCCTCCACTCTCTGCTGGGTTTGGGCCATCTGAAACAGCATTTTTCCAGCCCTGAAAGCTCTTTTTTTCCCCCCCAAGCAAACAAGGAAAACATGGCCTTTTGTTATTTATGTTTTTTGTGAGAGGAGGAGGAGATTTGGGACAGAATGAGCCCCAGGGTAGCGGCTTTTCTGCCTGCTCCTGGAGTTTTCTGCCTGTCTTTGGCACACTTTAAGTACCAAAGCAAATTCCTCCACTTTGTCTGGATCTCCCATCTGGTCTCCCTCATCAGCACCCATTCTGTGCTTCCCAGAAACGCTGCATGGGGTGGAAATGTGCATCCAATCATGGGAAAAGCTGTTTTCTATCAATCCCTCCCTGCCTGTTTACTTAAAAAATTTCCTGAGGGTTTTCTGAGAGGAGGAGACCTCAGAACCTCTGCACTGGCCACTCTTCAAGGCTTCTCTGAGCCCCAGACTTGGGTGTCCCTCCCAAATTGTGTCGCTGCTCTGAGAGGAGATGTGGAGCATAATGAGAATATTCCAAGCACTTAAAACAATACTCCTGAAGCTTGAATACCCATTGGGATCATTTTATTTCCAGAGTTTGAAGCTTTCAGGGCGTACTGGAGTCAGTTTTGTAAATTTTCTCAGTACCCACTGAAGGTTGGGATGGTTTTTGGTGGTCAAACAAAACTGAAAGTTTGGATAACATCTTCATGTGCAACCACACACGTCAGCAACATGACAAACAACACAAGACTCCCAAGAACAACACAAGAGACACCAATGACAAGTCCCTGTTTTTGCAGCTCACACTAGAGCTCTGAGTTCATGTGCCCTGGGAGGTGTCACAGCTCCCTCTTTGCTTGTGGCATATCTATCATAGTTTGTCTTCCAGATATTGATCTCCCATAATCAGCCAAGCACCTGCAGCTCCCAGGAGCCAGGTGGATCCTTCTGCTCAGCTCTGGGTGCCTTTTCCAGCAGTGTGAGCTAAGCCTAGTTTGTTGAGCCCTCTCTTATAACATTGATGTGATATAGGTTAATACTCTGCTTGGTTACAGTCTTGCAGTTCAGATTAGGCTGCATTGGACCCAGGTGATGGATTTTGATAGTGGAAAAGGTTCAGTTTACATGGAGATGATGAACTGTCCTGATGCAGAGCCCAGTGTGAGCGTGGTGGATGCTCCAGGTCATGGTGGCTGTAGGTACCCAGGATCAGGGCTGAAATCCCCAGAGCTGTGCCAAGGCTGAGCCTCTCACTCATAGCTCAGGGTTCAGAAGGATTCCCAAAATGGCAAATCTGCAGAAGCACTGAAACACCCGAAATGAGGCACCTGAACCCACTGCAGTTCAGCCACTGGCATCAACAATGGCTTTTGAGGGGATGGAAGCCAACAGTCCCCAGCAGCAATAGCACTACCAGCAAATCTTTTGGCACCACAACGTCCTCATGGATCAGGTCCTGCCACCTATGTCACACAGGGACAATTCCAGACGGATTTGGAGAGCAGAGCAGTCCTCCCTGCAGCTCTGAGAGGCCCCTGCATGGACAGGGCTCTCACGAGATGGACTCCAGCAGCAGCTCATCGGGGGGCACAGTGGGGATGTCCATGCTGTTTATCTGGCCAAAGAACTTGGGAAGAGACCAGAACTTGAGGCGGGGGAGATTCCTCTTCCTGACGCGGATGTCGTGGGCGGTGTCGGTGCCGGAGGCGCTGCTGCGGCGGGGCGGGAGCCGCGTCCTCAGGGCCACGCAGCCGTGGCGCAGCAGCTGCGCCTGGAACTCGGAGGTCATGAAGTAGTAGAGGACGGGGTCCAGGCAGCAGTTGAGGCTGGCCAGGCACAGGGAGATGGGGTGGAAGCGCAGCGTGCTGCGGTGCAGGGCGCAGTCCCGGATGACGTTCTCGATCACCATCATGAAGAAGGGGAAGTTGATGTGGTAGGGGGTGAAGCAGATGAAGAAGACGGCGGCACACATGAGGACCATCCTCAGGGCCTTCCGTTTCTCTCCAGCGTCCTGCAGCGCCGTGGGGCCCTCCCGCAGGGAATGCCACATCCTCCACGTGCACCAGGCGATGGTGCCGAAGGGGATGACGAAGCCAAACAGCTCCGCCACTGTCACCAGCGCGATGGCGGCCCCGGGGCTGAGCTGCTTCACGCCCAGGTCTGAGAAGCAGCTGTTGATGGAGTTGGACAGGGCTGGGCTCCTGACGATGATGAGGGGCAGGCAGGCAGCCCCCACCAAGAGCCAGACCAGGGCGCTGATGGCCACGTTGTAGCGGCGCTTCCAGCCCTTGGCTCGGAAGGGGTGCAGCAGGAACAGGTACCGCTGGATGCTGATGCAGCTGAGGAAGCAGATGCTGGCGTACATGTTGAGGTACTTCAGGTAGAAGCACACCTGGCACAGGAAGCTCCCGAAGGGCCAGGTGTGGTTGATGTAGTAGTAGGTGCGCAGGGGCAGCGAGAGGACGTGGGCCAGGTCAGCCACAGCCAGGTTGATCATGAAGATGACGGCTTTGCTCTTCCTGCTGAGGAACCGGCACAGGACCCACAGGGCAGCGCTGTTGGCCAGGAGCCCCGGGATGAAGATGAGGGTGTAGGTGGTGGCGTAGAGGGTGGACTGGAAGGACATCTGGGGGTCAGAACAGTTCCTGGAGGACATGTTGCTCTCCATCCTGGCTGGGTCTCTGCTCATGGGGCAGTCACAGCAGGGGAAGGGGTCCTGGAGTGGGTAAAAAGATGCTGTAAAGCCAAAATCTCTCCATGGAGTAAGAGTGCTTTAGGATAGAAGAGTCAGTTGTGTGCAAGTCAGTGTGTGTGGGGAAGGGTGACCCCACTCCCAGGGAGGGATTCCAGGCATCCTCCACCCTCTCCCTGCAGAGGTGCTCTGCGGGATCTCGTGAGATGCCCCAATTACAGTGAATACCCTGAGCTCTGTAACATCCATCTCTTGATTGCCAGAGAGCTTCTGCAGCTCCCAGGGTTTTTCAGAACCACTTTTATTTTATCACGTTTCCCATCACACTCTGTCAAATTGGTGCTCTACATCTACAAGCAATTTCAGCTGGACTGTAAATAAATAGGGATTTGAAATGGATTTAGGCACTGTCTTTGCGGATCCATGCAGGGATCTAATGTGAATCGGCAGCAAAGGCAATAATTAACATCCCCAGGCAGCTGAGGCCAGGGGAGAGCTGCAGACAGATCCATCAGCTCTGGCTCCAGAGTTAAGGGTGGATTTATAAGTTAATAACTGGCCGAACACACGCCAGTTGCTCTGCTGGTCCTGCTAACTCAATTCCAGCACTCCCGGCACATTGTGCAGGCATCGTGCTGGAGCAGCAGGAATTATCTCTCAGCAGCAGGAATTATCCTTCAGCAACTGCTCAGGACATGCAGGGAGATAAATACAACTCCTTTCTAGTTAAAGTAGAAATTCTTCTCCTCCATTTACCCATCCCAGCTCACCCAGCGCTGAGGGGATTTATTAGCTGGTCATGGGGAGTTCAGGTGTTCCTGCTGCTCTCTGGAGAGGATGGATTTTGCTGTTCATGAGCAGATCCCATGGGAAAGAATCCGTTCTTTTGGGAAGAAGGGATTTGGCAGCAGCAGAATACAAACGCAGGGGCTGCAGCATCATCTGGAACAAACAGTGGCATTTTTCCCTTGGAAATGGAACCTGTGAGAGGTGGGTAGCCTGCCCTGCCCTTCCCTGCCTGGAGCTGGGGCTGGCAGAGCCCTCAGCACCTCCTGTCACTGTCACCCAGCCCCTCATCAGCAGTAATTAATTAAGAAGCAGCCACAGTGTTGTTTCCCAGACCCTGGTGTTTGTCACAGGGATGGATTTCCAGGAGCGAATTCATCCCAATGCTTCAAGGTATCGGATGAAGTCTCCTCCATCCTGCTCTTCCTCACCTGGGCAGCTCTTTGGTGGGGTTACCATGTTTTCAGGATCAGGAGGAAATCATAATTTTAGATATTTTATATTTTTATGTGCAGATAAATATCTAAAATACAGCCCTGGCCTCTGGGCTGGCTGCCCCTCAGCCTCACCTCTGATGTCAGCAGAGCCAGTGCTCCCACCCTGCTTTCCAAACTGAGCCTTTCCCAGTCTGCCTTCCTGCTTTTCCTTGTTTTTCCAGTGGAACGGTGGCTGCTGAGTGAGGGCACCTCTCAGTTGCTGACTGTGCCAGAGCTTTGTGATTGCCCCACTGAGTTGGGAAAGGCAGGGGAGAGTCGGCATCTGTGCTGAGGGAATACTGGGAAACAGCTCCTTACTCCCTGCAGGATCCCTGTGCCCCTCACCTGCCCAAAAACCCATCAGGGACTTGTGCCCTTGGCACTCAGTCTGTTTAACCCAGGCAAAGGGGTGGCAGGACTTGTCTTCACATCCCTGCAGAAAATAGAGAGGGGATACTGCCAGGGAGCGTGGGGATGCAGCTGTTCCCATCTCCTGGCACAGCTGTCCAGTGACAGAGGTGGCACCTGGTGTGGGCTCATGGAAGGAATCACAGGTGTCCCTGCCACACAGCTCAGCCCAAATCCTACGCATCTTCCATGGGGAGCCTCCCTGCTGCTTTTCTCCACGTTTTTGACTTTTCCTGGGAGCACAGGAGTGCCTGTTCCTGGCAGGAGGGCTGGCTGGCACTCCTGGTACCCCACACAGCTTTGGAGGGCACTGGCAGGAAAGCAGCAGAGATCTCCACCCTGGGCGGGGGTCAGGCCAGGCTTGTTCACCACAACAATTCCTGGGAAGGTGGAGTTGTACATTTTTTATTGTTTTCCAGTTTTCCCTTTGCCCCACATCCCTCCAGCTTCCCCCTGCCTTGCTGGGGGTGTCAGGACACAGATGCTCCTGTGGGCTCTGTCGGGGGTTTGGTTCAGTGCCTTTATAAATCTTCTATAAAATATTCCTGCCGTTCTTTGATTATTTTCCCATTTCATCCATGCATGGATTTAAACACAGGCAGGAGCAGGGAGTGGTTTTTTTGGCAAGGCTGAGTTTTAATCAGCTGAAATTCCACGAGGGAGCCCAATATCAGTGCCCGAGGAGCCAGAGCACTGACTGTGGATGCAGCCCCGCCATTCATTAAACATCAAATAGCTGCAATTAATTAGGAGGCCGAGGCGGCTCTCAGAGCACCCGGGGCTGATTTTTGGAGCGTTCCTGGAGGCGAATGTGGCTGGAAACCGCCCGGCTCCTGTGAATCAGCCCGGGCCCCACCCACCCCCACACCACCGGGGTGTTCCTGCGTTTGCTGCTCCCCATCCATTGGCAAACTCGCCCTCATCTTTTCCATGGGCTGCTCGGACAAGCCAAGCTAAAGCTGAACTGCAGGCATGGCTGGGGAGAGCCCTCCGAGCCGGGGGATGGGGGCAGAGCTGCCTCCCTTCAGCGCTGGGATGCTGGAGGGAAAAGCAGCCTTGGGAAAAAAAAGTTTAAAAATAATAATAAATCCACTTATGGCTTAAAATGAGGTCTTGGTTTAAGTAGTGGAGTTTTCTGGCTCTGGGGTTGTAGGCAATAATTTTGTTTGTTTAATCTAGGCACTAATAGGAAATGCGTAAATAGAGCTGGTCGCTGATGGCAGCCTCTGTCAGTGAGGACAAAACTGAGGTTTTTTTGGCTAAAACAGCCTCTCCCCACGTCCTCCCCCACACCACAGCCTGTCCCAGGCACCGACTCCCTTCACCCACCCTTGGAGACCAATTTGTGGGCACAGCAGAAGCGGCTGAGAATGTTGCACCAGCTCCTGCCAGATAACCATCTCTTGAAGAACTACAGAGAAATGATGAAGTTGCTAAAACTGCGCCAGTTTCAGCCTTGTGAAGCAAAGAGCAGAAACGCCACTCACCTTGCAGTGCTTCCCATGCTCCGGGGGGGTCATAGCCGTGCTAGGGAGCAGGAGCAGCCAGCGTCCTGCTTTTATTTCCCACTGCTTCTCTCAGCGATCCCAGCGCCTCCTCGTTCCACTTCCACATGGTTTCGGAGCGCTGGAATCTTGCCGGCATCTGCAGCCCGGTCCGGTGGCTGCAGAACAGGAAATCCTGTATTTTGTTTCTCTTCTCCACACCAAACGTGTGCAGCTAATGACGTTAAAGCCGCTGGGAAGGCGATGACGTCGTTTGGTGACAGTGCCCTGGGATGGACACCTCGGGTTTGTGTCCCCGCTGGGCACAGGGGCTGTGGGAGGGGATGGTGCCCTTCCCTCCGGGTGCTCCTGCTCCTCTCCACGGTCACTTTGCCCGGGAAGAGCTGTAAAATACAGGAGCAGCCTCCCAATAAGTGCTCGCTGAAGGAAAACCGAGCGCTCTGCCAGTGTGAGTTACTGGAAGGGAGTAATTTTCCCTCATTTTCTTGGAAGGTTGGTTAGCCTCAGACTGTCAAGGCTGCAGGCTAAAGCTGGAGGGTTTGGGCTTTATTCCTGACATAATGTGATGGTTTAAGGTGGAGATTTCCCCCAAAATACTGTTGTTTAAAAAACCCATAACATGCATCATTCCCAACCTTATTCTTTAATTCCTTTAATTCCCTTCCTATATATATATGCGCATATAGAGCGTTTTTAGCTATTTTTCTGCCTGCTGAGCATGACTTCCTTTCTGCAGGGCTGAAGAAGTGGTGTGACTTCATGGTGTGACTTCTGAGCTGCCTCTTTTCCAGCTAAGCAGTTTTACTTGATATCCAGGGTCACAGCTCACAGCCCAGGGTTTGTACAGATAATTTGGCTGTTGGCAACTTTCCCTTCCTGGAGGTAACATAAAAATAGAAATATTCCTACCCTATTTTTTGTAAATGGTTGTGCAACCTCACAAAATTAATGTGAACAGAACTGTGGAAGAGAAATGAAAGGAGGAAGATCTTATAAACTTGTTAGCAGCTCAGGGGTCGGGGTCAGGAGTGCACCAGAGCTGTGGCACCCACTCAGCTGCCAGGTCTCCTTGTGTCCAGAAATCACAGAATCTGAGAGTAATTTGGATGGGGGACCTTAAAGACCCTCTGATTCCAACACCCCTGCCATGGGCACGGACGCCTCCCACTATCCCAGGATGTTCCAAGCCCTGTCCAGCCTTGGACACTTCCAGGGATGGGGCAGCCTCAGCTTCTCTGGGCACCCTAAATCCCCATGGTTCTCATCTCAGAGGATTTGGGAGATGCAAGAGCTGTTTGTCATTCCCAGTTTTCTTCCTGTGCATCTCTTCCAGCAGCTGGTGCTGATCCTGGGAAGAAGGAGCAGTTTGTGGAGCATTCAGAGAGCACAGAAGGGAGGCTGGCACTGTGCCCTGTCCCTCTCCAGAGGGCAGAGGTTAATCCCAAAGTGAAGGGGCTGTTTTATCAGGATATCCTGCCTGGGACATCCTATTTCTGTGTCTGCAGCAGCACATCCAGCCATCCCTGAGCCCTATTTTTAGGTGTTTGTTTCCAGCTGTGCTGCTGGGGAGGGAGAGATCAGTGGATGTCAGACCCAAGCAAGGGCTTTGTAACCAAGCTGAGCCCTTCCTCTGCTCTTTGGCTTTTTGGAGAACTTTTGCAGAGGATCACAACATTTCTGGCCATGAAAAGCTGAGGGATTGACAAATCTCATCCTTCCACACACACGGATCAACCTCTCCATTCTTTCAAATTGAACATGTTTTTGTTTAGCATTTCTGTTTCTCTGGCTCATCCCCAACGTGCCTTTCACACTTGGAAACATTCTGCTTTCAAAGGCAGAAAACACAAAGGAACTTTTAAAATAACTTTTTTAATAACTGTGCACTTTATCTAAGGCCTCCAGATAAAGGTCTCTTCTCCTGCAGCCTGGTATCCTGTGGGCAGGGGGCCAAATGCAGATGATCAGCATCTCTCAAGCGCTCAGCATTGAGAATATCTGACAGGATGCACCTGAAGGATGTATGAAAAGCAGGGGGAGGAGGAGGTTTGTTCACACAAAGCAGCTTCACCCTTGTGCGGGGAGCTGAGCAGGGCTGGGTGAGCCCCCAGCTCATTGTCCCTCTCGCTGTCACACAGAGTTCTGTGCAGGGAGAGCATTTTAGAAAGCTCTGATTCATTTTACAGCAAAAAATTATCAATGGCTCCCTTACTTTTTGGGCTAAGCCTTTGTCTAATCCACAAACCCAGCATTTTTGGTTAAAATGTACCATTCATCCCCAAAATCTTTTAAGTGCAATGAAGTGGTTTCATGTTTTTGAGCTGTGGGGTTGTTATCCTGCATTTCCAGCATGTTTTGTTTTTCCTCTGGGCAGAGAGCTGGTAATTGCATTTAAGGGAAGCAAGAGGTACTGCAAGATCCTGCAGCTCAGAACCTGAAGCTGCAGAAAGGCTTTAAATCCCTGAGGAGTTTTTCCCAAATAGGTTTGTCCTCATGCACAGGAGGGCCCTTTCAAGCAGGATGGGAGGTACCAGAGATCTGCTCCTGGTTAGGATGGGGTGGCACTGCAGAGAAACACATTTGCTTTTTGCTAAAAGGTGAATGGCTCATGTTCTAGAGGAAAAGAAATGTGTTTGCCCAGGGCTGTGCCTTGGGGACAGGCCAGTGCAGGTGGCTTGGAGACATCACCACATCTCCATCCTGAACAGTTCCCTTCAGAAGATGCTCCAACCCCAGAAGCCCTTCTGATCCCTCTTTCACACCCCTGTGGAGCTGTACCAAACCTCTTGATTTGGTTCAATTCTGCCTTTCTGTGGCATGTCTGTTAAACCAGCTTTTTTGTGTCTGCCCAAGAAGGAAGAAAAGTCTTTTTCTACTCACGAGTCTGGGCAGCAGGACCAGCACAAGAGATAATCCAGGAGCAACATCATGAAATTATATTTCCTCTTGTCAAAATAATAAACATGTTTTTTGGTCACAGGAAATGGGGTGAATTACAGGAACCTGAGCCCGGCTTTTTGTGCCTCTGATTGTGTGAGGCAAAGCAGCCCCTGCAGCCCAGGTCCTGGGTCAGATCCAGCACCAGCCAGCTGGGAAGGCAGCTGGGATAGTCTCCTCCTCACTGGAATGCCTGTTTTCTTCTCTTGAGATGCACACTGAGGTTTTGGAGGCCTGAACTGAAGGATTTGGATATCACATGTGGCTTTTTGGAGGCCAAATGGATCATCTTGGACTTTCAGAAAACTGCAAGTTTTCTCTGATCCCTGCTCTGAGCTGTTGCTCTCTGGGCTGGCCCATCCTGACTGACTTTCCCTGGTGGTTTAAACCCATCTGGCAGCTGAACCCCACAGAGGTGGTTTAGTTCTACCCCAGCCAAAACCAGGGCACTTTCCCCCACACCAGAAGAGACTTTCAGTCAGAGTTATCTGATCCTCTGCACACCACAGGATTGAAAGTGGTGAATGTGACTTTTCCTCACAGATTGGGGCTGCAGTATGGAAAAGGAGAGTTTTGGGGAACCTAAGGGAGTTCAGAGGGTGAGTGAGGCAGGAAAATGCGGGGAGCTGAGGTGCTTGGGGATGCCATCATGGAGATAGAGAATGTTATCTCTGATGGAGACATCAAATCCTTGCTAAGGTTATGGGCAGGAGAGCCACTGTCACTCCTGGACACACAGCAGCTGGAGCAGGTATTCCCATGCCTTGTCCATCTCCCACTACCTAGGATACCTTCCCATCCTCAAAATACTTCTAGATCTAATAGAAATGTGGTAGATTCAAAAAATAAATAAATAACCACTCTTTAGAGTGAAAACAAGCAAAAAATCAGTTTAAGAATAATAAAAGTTGCGCTCCTTCATTTGAACCCTGATCCCAGGAGGAGCTGATCCCACACAGTTTTCCAGGTAACCAGTGATAACTACAAAACTCAGCTGATGTTTGCAAAACAGCCTTTATTTTTGTTTTTGGGTTTTGAGCATCTGTTCTTGGGAAGTAAAACCCACAGAAGGAGCTACAGAGTTCCCGTAAGTGCCCTCAGCTTGTTTTCACAAGCTGATTGATCAAGGGAGAGGGTGCAAAAGTGAAGGGACAGGAAACAGCTCCCAGTCATGCTGAGGCTGAGCAAGGTCTATAAAAATCCTCAAAACAAGCACTGAAACTGAACTCTCCTCCTCTGACAGCTTTATACAGAGTGTAGCTTATGAGAGACTGCTGAACTGACAACAATTGAGTTGTGTGAGGTCAACTCTGCCCGTGAGCATCCATCCCTTTGGAAGGGGACTCCTTGCAGTGTGCAAACATTTATTGTGTCAGTGGCATCAGAGAGAACATTTCCATCGACCCCAGTGCATCCTACTCGGCCCAAAGTCATCTTCTCACACCTGGGAGGAGAACTATGACAGCTTATTGTGTTTAATCAGTGCCACTGCCTTTTAGAGGGAAATGGTTGTTTAAACCTTGATTCTTGGCTTTCCTGCCCACCCACTTTTTTTTCATTTATTTTGCAAAACAGAGAAATAGGAAAACACAAAATACAGAAAATATTTAGCTGAGCTACATTTACTCACTGGAATTGAATAGTTGGAGTTAAAATATGCATAGCAAGTGTTTCTGGTATTTCTTCTGGTTTTGTAGCAACTGTTGCAAGACTGTACAAATTGTTCACATTCTTTTGAAAATATACTGATTTCCAAAGGCAATAAATTGGTCTCTATTCAGCCAAATCCGTCCCCAGGTATCTCGAGATACCCTTGAAGTTACAGAGTGAGGGGGACTCGGCTGAAGACCTGTAACTAATTTAAAAATAAGGGGTAAATTAATCCTTCCTTGTCACTGCTTTGCATAGCTACCTAAAAATGTAAACATTATGATCGTGACAGGACCTGATGGAAAAAAAATCACAATAGTTTATGAACTTAACTTCTGGTCTATCAGTGAAATCATCTTGGCAAGGACTCTTCTCTTTTTTACAAGATGCATCAACTGAACAGATTGAGCTGAGCTTTTTTGGGGCAGATTCATCTCAGGTACCTCTGGACCACAAATAGAAGAGAGTGAGAACCTGAGTGGTACCACCAGCACCATCAAACCCACCTGCACTGATCGCAGGACCACCATGGTCCTGCCCCAAGGAGTCTAAAGGCAAAAGCCACCTGCCCATGTCCACCTTGCCAGCTTGGAGAGGAAAAAAGGCACCTGGAGCAAGGGAAGGTGCCACTCTCTGGGTGTTTGAGGAGAATTTGCCTTGCAGAGGGTGTTACATCAGCTGCAGGTGCAAGTTCTGGGATGTGTCAGCAATTAGGGAGCAAACAGAGCTGGGTGAGGAGGGAAAGGAGGAGCAGAGCAGGAGGGTGAGTGTGGAAAGGGGGAGCAGAGGTCACTGGTGACCAGTGGGATGCACCAAACCCAGGAACACATGGAAACCACCTTCATCTGTCCCCAGCCCCCAATGCACAAACCACAATGTCCTTTGGTTGCTACTGGCCAGTTTTAGGTTCTGGTGTGGTTTTCCCAGAGAAGATCCTTCAGCAGATGTCAGTGTATGAATGTGTGATTGTCTCTGGCTTGATCACAGAGCCTGGGAAAGTAGAAGAAAAGCCTGGGACTTTTCCACCATTTCCCAGTAAAAGTTTTTTTCACTTCCTCCTGTGTATTCTGTAGTCCAGTGAGGCCAGGTGTGGGTGGCACAGGGAGGGGGACAGTCACATCAATTGGGTCACTCACCAGATTCCAACACACCAGTCTTAGACAAGGATTTATCTTCTATATACTGGAAAAATTACGCTACCACAAAACTCCCTTGTACAAACCTGCAGGACCTTTCACAAAAGAGCTGGTAATGGAGTATCCCAGACCAGTATCAGATTTCACATGAAATACCTTAGCTTCTTCCAAGTGGCTTTCTTGTCACTCCCTCATTGACGAGGCGCTCTCTTTGCTCATGAGCCGGCTCCGGATGGCCATGCTGCTGTGCCTGGAAATCTGCTCCTGGAACTCAGAAGTCATGAAGAAATAGATGATGGGATCCAAGCAGCAGTCGAAGCTGGCGAGGCTCAGGCAGAAGGGCTGGGTGTAGAGCGTGATGGTGCTCAAGAGGCAGTCAGTGATAACATTCTCCTTCACCAACATGTAGAAGAAGAAGTTGATGTGGTAGGGAGCAAAACACACACAGAACACAACGGCACACATGGAAACCATCCTGAGGGCCTTCCTCCTTTCCCCGCTGTTTTCCTCTGGGACATGGAAGCCCCGGATGGAGTCTCTTGTTTTCCATGTGCAGAATAAGATGATGATGAGCGGGCCCACAAAGCCCAGGAGCTCAGCAGCACCGGTCATCAGCACCGTTCCCACCTTGCTGTCAATTGGCTTCACCTGCAGGTCAGCAAAGCAGCTGGTGGTGTTGGCACCCAGCCCGTGGCTCCTCATGATGGGGAAGGGCACACAGAGAGCCCCCACCACGAGCCAGACCAGGGCGCTGATGGCCACGTCATAGCGGCGCTTCCAGCTCTTGGCTTGGAAGGGGTGGTACAGGAAGAAGTAGCGCTGGATGCTGATGCAGGTGAGGAAGCAGATGCTGGCGTACATGTTGAGGTACTTCAGGTAGAAGCAGAGCAAGCACAGGACATCCCCAAACGGCCAGATGTGGTTGATGTAGTAGTAGATGCGCAGAGGAAGTGAGAGGACGTGGGCCAGGTCAGCCACAGCCAGGTTGATCATGAAGATGACGGCTTTGCTCTTCCTGCTGAGGAACCGGCACAGGACCCACAGGGCAGCGCTGTTGGCCAGGAGCCCCGGGATGAAGATGAGGGTGTAGGTGGTGGCATAGAGGATGCTCTTGAAGGGGAGGTCCTGATGGGAGCAGCTCTGGTTGTTTTGGGTCATGACTGGGTTGCTGGAAGAGGCTGTGATGGTGTAGGGTGGGTGGATCATGCCTGTGGAGACAAAAATGGGATGTGAAGGCAAAGGCTCTGCAAGAGTTGTCAGTGCTCACATCTGCATTTCCCATTTGGCTGTTCAGCAAAAGCAGAGGTTTGGGAATGTTGTCTGCATGAAACATCCTGGAATCATGTTCATATCTGCCCTGTCAGAGATCCCACTGTTCCCTCAGGCGTGGGAGACCATTCCTGGTGTGTCAGTCCCAGGAGCACAAGTGAAGCTGTGCCACACTGATCATGGGGCAGCAGAAAAGCTGCTCATCCATCCTTTGGCCATTTCTTCAAGGTCTCCTGTGGTTTGGTCTCTGGGAGCAAGGCAGGAATACATGGATGAAAGTGACATATCCCAGCCTCCATCACAGTCATGGCCCAGCACTCAGAGTGTGGGTGCCAAGCACTGAATCATGGAATGGTTTGGGTTGGAAAGGATCTTAAAGCCCATCCAGTGCCACCCCCTGCCATGGGCAGGCACACCTTCCACTATCCCAGGCTGCTCCGAGCCCCATCCAGCCTGGCTCTGACCACTTCCAGGGATATGTTGGGCTGTGTTGGGCATTATGTGGGGGGCAGGCCTCCAAGCCCCTCAGAGGACCTCATGGACCCACTTTCTCTGGCATTACGGGCACAAACCACATGCAAAAGGGTAGCAGGGAGTGGACTTGGAAAATGTGACTGTTGTGAACACAGCCAGTGCTCCTGAAGTGTTCTGTTAATGTATTTAAGCTGATGGAACACACAGAGACCTGGTCACGCCACCAGCTTCTATTTCTCATCACCATGGCAGCCTCAGTCTGACTCTTTTTTCCGTCAGATAATTTTACTTTTTAGATACTGCCAATTTCTGTCTCCAGCCATCAGCAAGATGCCACGTGTTGAACTGTTGGGCCACTTTTCTCTTGCCAGCTTTTGTAACCAGGACCAGTAAGTTTGGTAACTCATCCTCAGCAAGGCAACACAGGCAGGAGCTGGGGTTTATTGGGGGTTTCCTCCCAGGGTTATAATTCTCTCTACAGTGATTCCCTCCCATGTTGACTATAACGGTTAAAGTTGAAAATCAGCTTCATATGGCACTGCAGACACTGATTCACTCCTCTGACTCATTTCCTGCAAGGGGCATTCGCCAGAAAAACTGTCTCTGTAGGTAGAAATTAGTAACTCCTACTCTGTTACTGAAGCTTTTTCCTTCATGTTACCAAAAGAGTTGAGTTTATAGCTCTCACTGACACAGAGCACAAATAGCTGGGTTTTCAGCCTCTTAATCATTGTGGTGCTTACATTTGGCAGCTTATCCAGACTCTGTCCAGAATGCCACGGAAGGGTTGAGATTCAGCCCCCAAAATGCCCAGACATGGCAAGGTCCCACATGGGACATGGACAGTGAGCAGGGCCTTGTAACCCCAAACAGATTCTTGCCTTTCTTTCTCAGCTTCCCTCTCACATTCCCACTGCCTTCAAAAAGCAAGGTCTGTGTGTTTATCTCCTGCAGCAGCCTCAGCTTCAGCAGCTCCAGCTGCTCCAAGCATCAGGAAAGTGCTGCTTTTGGGAAGCTCTCTGGCTCATCCCCTTCCTTCACCAAGATGCTGGATCCTGAGCCCTCAGAGCTGCTGGATCCTGAGCTCTCATCGCTGCTGGATCCCAGGCCCTCAGAGCTGCTGGATCCCAGCCCTCATCACTGCTGGATCCCAGGCCCTCAGAGCTGCTGGATCCCAAAGCCCTCAGAGCTGCTGGATCCCAGCCCTCATCACTGCTGGATCTTGAGCTCTCATCACTGCTGGATCCCAGCCCTCAGAGCTGCTGGATCCCAGGCCCTCAGAGCTGCTTTTGTTCCCCCAGCTCCACACACAATCCCGCTCTCCACACACATCTCTGGGATAGGATGCTCTGCTCCATGTTCCCCATCCCAGGACAGCACAGCCTTGCTCCTGCCACAAGGCCAAAACAGGCCCATGAGGAGGGAAGAGGCTCGAAGTGTGATAGAAACACAGAAAACAGATTCATCTGGCTCATGGATTTATCTCCCCCGAGAAGCAGCAATGGAGGCCTTCTGCTCTCCATCTGGGAGTTGCCCGGACAGGGAGTGAACAGGGACTGGAGCTGAGCACGGGGCTGTTCCTCCCCTCACAGTGGGTTACATCCCATTTCCTGGGAGAGCTGTGAATTTCTGCTGCTCCAGAGGTTTCATCCCTTTCCAGCTGCTGTCCAGCTGGCCGTGGCCTTGTCTCCGGTAAAAGCACACCCACTGCATCTTCTGTCCCTTCAGGTCACCTCTCCCTTTGCCAAGAAACCACTTTCCAAGTCCTCACATGCCTGATTTTCCTTGGATATCAAGCCTGGAAGGTCTGGTCTGCTGCTCCTCCAGACACAGCTGGTGGGTGACCATTAAAACCACACAGGATTAGGTACAACTGCAAAAATATTTTAAAGACACTTTTATAATTGATTATCTAATTAAATGCTGGCCAGTGTGTGCTTGTTCTTCAGTCCAATGAGTAACAGCAGCCAATTTGCTTATCAAGGTTCTTAAATACAGCTAGGTCTTATTTAGTCCCTTCCAACCCAGAATATTCTGTGATTCTGTGACTTAGGTCTCATGTGACACTAAGGACAATTGGGGTGATGGGGTGATGGTCTGCTGACTCAAACTGGGCTCTGACCAGAGGTTTTAGGGCAAACTGCTGTGTCCAGCATGTGTCCTTGGAGCATGAGGGTGACGCTGAGGGCACACACTCCATCCCAGAGCTCAGCTTGGCTTCCAGGGGGTATAAACCCTGCCCAGAGCATGGAGAGCTTCCCCCTCATCCATCACCTTCATCTGCTAATTGTCCACAAGGTGTCAGAGTTCATTCAAATCTCATTTCTTGGCTCTCTTTAAGCTATTTTTCTCACTCCCAAGTGTTGTCTGAGTGGCAGCAGTGGGAACTCTCATGAGTCCACCTTGCCATCATATAGGAGGGACCCAAACTGAAAATATCCAGTGTTGCTGAATAACTAATATTAGGAAAAAATTGTTCCCAGGAGTGGACCTGGTTGCTGGTATATTTTCTGATGATCTTTAAAGGTCTTTTCCAACCTAATGATTCTGATTCAATTTGCAGGTAGAAGAATCCTGAAAAGCTCCACTTTGGAGCTGTGGTGAACCTTGGAGCCAGGAGGTTATAAAACCCATCCTGCAGGTGATGTCCCAGCGCCACCACCCCAGCAGATCTAACTCAGATACAGGGAACAGGAGGTGCATGTCCTGGAGTCAGAAAATCCCTTTCTGCATTCAGGGAACTCAGGGTCTGAGCAGGGTTACTTGCTGCAGGCTGGCAGTTCACACAATTAATACATTACCACAATTAATATGCATGGGGTGGTATCTGCTGCCTCATCAGCAGGGCCTTTCTGAGGATTAAGAATTTCATTACAAAACCATAAAAACATAACAAGATTAAACCATGTTTTTAATCAAAATGCACCCACACATACACAGTGCACCACAAAATTACTGCATTTCTGCCTTTCCTCTCACTGGGGCTCAGACTGAGGCTTAATCCCACACCGACCCCTTCTCTTCCCACTTGTGCACAAAAGCAGACACTTGAGATACCACTGAGGGGCCTAAAATTACATTTCCAAAGTCCTTTGCTGTATGGTGGGTGTGCAGCAGGGGCTGCAGAAAACTGAAATCTCCAGTGGATTTTATCAGTGCTCATTGACATCCTGCAGAGAGGTGGTTCCCACTGCAATATTGCTTTCAGAAAATTATTATTTTTTTAAAAAAAACTATCAAATAAACACACTGAGATCCAACCACTATTTTTTATATTTTTGTGAGATTCTGCATCCCTGATGCTGTTGCAATAAGGATATAAGAAGTGAGCATGTTATTACTGGAGCTTTGGAAAATAAGCATAGCATTCCTAGGCAAAAGATGTTCATCTGGATAGGCTGAGAAGCACAGGGATGTCATTCCAGAGCCCTGGATCTGTCTGAGGTGCCCATCAGAGCCAGGTTGATTTGATTGGGGCACAAACAGCTCCACACTCTGCCCTCAGTGCACAGCCATGACACCAAAGTGAAACCTCTGTGCTCAGAGTGGAACATTTTACGTTAAAGGTGCTTTTTTGGCTTCGCTTTCACAGAAAAAGAGCATGTCTGGGCTGACTGCTGTATTTTCGTTTTGCAGCACTGGTGAAGCTCCTTCCTGCTGCTCCAGCAGAGACAGCAACCGCCCCCTCAGGGTGCTGGCTCCAGGCTGGGCAAGGGCTGCCCCATGGATGCACTTCCCTCATGGATGGAATTCCCATGGCTGATGATGCTGGCACTGGGGCCAAAGTCCCTGCACTTTTACTTGACACCAAAAATATGCCCTTGAAAAGAAGCCCACTGTCCCTGCACAGCTGCTGCTCCATCCTGCTGAGAATCCCCTCCTGCAGATCCTGCCATCCTGACTCACCTTCTGTGAGATTCCCTCTTGATCTACGTGCAGAAATCCTGGATTCAGGGGCCACCCACTCTACATCCTGTCTGTGACCACCCCGTGGGCTGTTTGCTGGGCTCCCAGCAGAGCTGAGCTGCTGGTGCAAGTGAAAGCAAAGTCAGCAGAAATGCACCTTTTGCAAAGAACAGCTGCAGACCCTGAAGTCAAGTTTAAAGCCTTCAGCCCATGAAGTTTAAAACCTTCAGCCCATGAAGTTAAGTCTAAAACCTTCAGCCCATGAAGTCAAGTTTTAATCCAGACTACAGCCTGAATTAGGAATGAAAACCACCTCAGGATTCTCATTAGCAAAAGCAAGTCCAAGCAATCCTGCTATTTTTGTCATCTCATGTCCCCACACTATTATCAATTTCCTCCAGTTGCTGCTCACTCACAGAGCCTCAGATGGCACAAAGATGGGCAGCACATGGATTTTATTTGATGGCAATATAAATCCCCGTTGGAAAAAACAGATTTGCGTTTTACCCTTACTGTCAAGTATGACTTTAAAATAAAATATATTCCCAGAGGAATCAGGCAAGAGACAGAAATTATCCCTGCTAATGACACTGGAGAACAGTTGGAGCACCGCTAATTGCCCACGCCTGACATTTGTTTTTGCAGGCGCAGCAGCCGCTGTTTGAACTCCTCCATGTGTTCACCCAGAGCATTGGCACACAAGGAGAGCAGCGGCTGCTGCTGCTGCTGCTGCAGGGCTCCAAGTGCCACAAATCTCCTCCTGGCAAGAGCCACCCCCTAAGGAAAAGCCCGAGGAAAGAAGGGGACGTTTCTGCAGGAGGCAGCACGGTTCTAGATCCCAAGGAGAGGGTTCAAAGCAGCCTTACCTTGGCAAGCAGAGCTGTGCTCAGCGCAGCCGAGTGCTCAGGAGGAAGTGAAATGTCCCCTGCACCACTGTTTACACCAGCAAGGGGACCTGGGTGACATCACGACGTGCCACAAAAGGTGCTGCTTTTGCTGGTGCTCAGCTGTGGCTCCAGCCCTGCTCCCAGCCCTGCCAGCTCAGTCCTGGTCAGCTGTCCCCACAGTGACCCCAGAATGGGGTTACGTGCCTTTGTCCCAGGTGTTTGCTGTCCTGCAGCTCTGCTGGGTTGGCTCAGCACCCACTGGGAAAATTCCAAGTGGAGTTGGGTGCAGGGCACCCCTTCCTCCTCTCCAGCTCTTCCTCCTCTCCAACTCTTCCTTCCCTCCAGCTCTTCCTCCTCTCCAAGCACAGCTCTGAGCAGACCATGGAAATGCTCCCGAGGTTTCTGCCTGCTCCTGCCTGGCAGCTGTCCCTGCTGTCCCCTCCTGCCCCTGGGGCTGAGGACCTGCTGGGTGCTCTGCTCCAGCTCAATCATCCTGCAGATGAGGTCTGACTTCCCAATGGCTTTTTTTAGCACAGTGGGAGCTGTGCCTGACATTTCTCCCGAGCTAAATAAGTCCCCAGCTCGGTTTACATTCACTGGATCTCCCTGCCAAGGGTGGCACTTCTGACATTGCTTCAAGGAATGGGCACAGATCCAGCCTCATCTTATCCCAGGGGATAAATACACAGTTGGGGCTACATCTTTACCCCCTTGGAGGATCTCATTGTTTGGATTTTCAGAAAGCCACCAGGAATCTGCCCTGCTTTGCCTCTCTGGGATCTGGCTCTCAGCACTCGACCGTCACCAGCTGAACTCTGCTCTGCTGTGGTCTGAGTGTGTGAAATCAAACATCACAGCAGCTCCTACCTGACATGGGGACAATGTAAGTGTTGATGTCTGACAGCTCAGAAACCTCAGAAACCCAAAACTGATGGCTCATTCAGGTAATCCCATGCTGAGCTTTCCAGACAGTCTCGTTTCCATCACTTGTCAAAGCAGGTTGGTAGAAGCTGGGAGCTTGCCAGGTGTTTATTTTAAAATTATTTATATGGACCTTTTGAAAAGTAATAGTGAGGTTTTGGCCAGTGCTGGAATGTTTATCAGCACATCCTGTTTAGCTGATTTTTTTTTCCTTCAGCAACAGAAATATATTTATTGGAATTTATCCAATCACAAAATTGTCTTTCACATAAAAATCACTGCACTCTGCAGCCTGGCAAGCTGAGAATTTGGGAACAGCAGTTCCCTGACTGATCCCACCAGCATCTGTGGAAGACAGACATTCACAGAATCACAGAATCATGGCATGGTTTGGAAGGGAAAGGAGTTTAAAGTTTTCTTGTTCTGCCCTCTGCCATGGGCAGGGACACCTTCCACTAGCCCAGGGGGCTCCAAGCCCTGTCCAGCCTGGCCTTGGGCACTTCCAGGGATCCAGGGGCAGCCACAGCTGCTCTGGGCATCCTGTGCCAGGGCACCACCACCCTCATTATCAGCTCGTGTGCAGATGCTCTTCTCTGCATGAATCTCCATCTAGGACAGGCTTGACTGATCTGAGGAAAAAGCCACAATCTTTGTGAAAAAAGGACAGGGAAAAAATGCAGCTGCTGTTCCTGCCTTTCCCCATGGCCATAAATTGCTCTGGTTTGGTGCAGGTTGTTACATGAGAGCTTTAGGACCATGTAGGAAATTTAAAAGCGCAACTCATTGCACCTGCAGAATATACTGCTGAATTTCTCCTTCCTTAAATAAGTACAGTTGCAGAGGATCTGCACCCTGTTTACTGTGGTGGTTTATCAGTTATCCTGCAGACAAGGGCTCAGGAAGTGGCTTTTTCTGCTGATAAACCAGAACTGCCTGGAGATTTTGCAGACAGTTATGCTGGGTCCGATGGAATTTCCCTACAGAGCTCTTTGCTGTCTTTCTGAGGGTAAAACTTCAGTTTGTGCAGCGTAAAGGCTCTTCCTCTTCTTGGTTATTGCTTCCCAGAAATAGTCATTACCATAATTACCTGGATTAAAGGACAGTTTGGATCCTGCAAGGCCACCTGGACTTCAGTGCCATCATCATGTGACAGATAATTGAGCAATGTCGTGGTTTTAACCCAAAAGAATAGCTCCAGCTTTGCCTGTCTGCTGTTCAGAAGCTGGATTTGATGTGCAATGATCCCAAACAGAAAGAAGTTTCCATGCCTTTTCCATGCTGCTGTTTCCTTTCCAAGGTTTTTCCCCAAATCCAAAATTAAGTGGCTGCTCTGTGGCTTTTTTGTGGTTTAGTCCCTAGAACTGTAACTGGTTTTTTAGAGGTTTTTCCACATCTATAAGGGGAGAAATCAAATAAGGAAAAAACCCTCCCATAAAACAAATTACAGCCCTTCAGTGGGAACCAGAGGAAAAGCAGCTGCATTTCTAATTTATTCTTGAGATAGGTATGTAATTTATGAAAATGTATTATTTTGTATATAGAAAATATTATTACAGTACATATTATTGTGTAATCTATATTATAGATTATTATGTAGTATTATTAATATAGCAATATTCATAATAGTGCATAATTATTAATTTTTTCTAAAATCACAGAAACCCAGGATATTTGGATGGGAAGTGACCTCAAAGTCCATTCAGCTCCACCCCCTACCATGGGCAGGGACACCTTCCACCATCCCAAGCTGCTCCAAGCCTCATCCAACCTGGCCTTGGACACTTCCAAGGATGAGGCATCCAGTAAATAATAATAATATTGGATGGAGCAGCCAATAAATAACATCAAGATTTAGATTTCATGTCAAATTTTTTTTGCTGTCAAGTCAAGCCTTTGGAGTGTGGAAAAGCAGACATTCAACAAAAGATCACACCAAGAAATTTATCTAAGTTTGGTCAAAAGTTGTACTCTGACAAGGAGAAAATAATTGTATCCTGATTCAGTGATTCTTCCTATGGAGATTATAAAGAATTAATTAAAGGAGAGTGAAATGTATGTGTGGAGGTTAAATTACATAACAATGTTGTTTACTCTAATGTATCAGATAACAGAAAGAGGAACAGAGAATGACAAACATTTCAAAAATCTTCCCTTTTATTTTTGGTTTTGGGCCTCAAGCTGATAATAATTTTTTTTTCTTGCAACAAAAAGGAGCAGGAGGCACATGGAAAAAGTCAGAACGGGCTGTTCTGTGAGAAATAACTTCTAATTACCTGCATTTTCTGGCCCCTGAAACATCATTGCTCATTAGTGCCTCTCTCTGCTCTTACAGAGCTTCAATTGCAGCACGTCGTTAACGATTTCCTCTGCCCCCAGTACAGACACACACGTTCCTCCTGTCCAAAAGAGAGGCTGATTCTGTTACAAAGAAATGGATCTTTAATTCAAAGCAGCTCTTTTCCTAACAGAGCTGCCCAGTAGCTGTGTCCAGCCCATCCCTGTGTCCCACGACAGCCGTTCCCCTCCCGTGGGCGCTTGGAACGGGGATAAGGAACGAGCTGAAAGCACACACCAAGGGTTTCCACAGGAACAAAAATATATAAAATATTCCCCCCTGACAGCAGAAAGAGAAAGATCTTGGAATGCTGGTGGCCAAACCCTTGGAAGCTTGCCCTGGTTTTATTCAGAGCATGCTGAATCCCTGGAGCTGGAGGAGAGTCTGAGGAGCTTTTCCAGTGGGAGAGCCAGGGCTGGCCAGTGCTGGCCGCAAGGATTTGCCCATCAGAACCATTGCTCTTTGTCAGAGTCATTTACTTCCTAATTCTGGGTCTTTTGCAGAAACTAAAAAGCAGAAAATGTGTCTTCCCCTCTAACCAAGCAGAGCCTCTGAGAAGTATTTTCCATGCAGCTGATGCTAAAAATAATCGTTGGTTTTCTTTGCTGAAAACTTCTCCTTCATCTCTTGCAGCTCAGAATCCCTTGACGGACAGATTCCAGCAGTCTTTTTGGAGGGGATAAATGAAAATTTTGAAGGAGAGGAACCTGGGGAGGAAAATGAACTCTTAAGTTTTGCCTGTGGTGGTTTTAATTTCTTTGCCCAGTTAAATTTCTTTGCAAAAGTTCTGTTCCCAAGGGGGTCTTTGTAGTGGTGAGTTCCCCTGGAGCAGCTGCCACAAGCTGGCACATGAAATTCCTTTTCCTTACATGCAGAGGGCATTGAGTGCATTGTCTGTGTTCCTTCTGGAGCTTTATGCTGAAGCCATTGCTCTCGTTTTCCTGTGGGAGAATCATCAGCACAATCTGGTGAGGTACAGTTAAATGTAGAGGTTATAATTTGATAATTTAGAGCTTCCAGCAAGAAGAGCTACTGGTGTTGGAACATCAGCCTCAGGGAACCAGCTCAGCCTGGAAGTATGTCCTGGAATTCGGTCACCTCTCACCCACAGGTGACTCCCTGTTCTGTAGAGGCAGCACAAGTCTGAGAGTCACAGGGTGAGCTTGGACACATCCCAAAGCATCCATGATGGGATTCCATGATCCAAAAGCCAGTGTCCCAGATATTGTCTGTGACACTGGTGCAGCCTCCTCATGAAGGCTGCAAAGAGAAGGGTGAGAATTTTCATGAGAACTGGAAGGCAAACCTAATGAACTCCGTGGGGAATTCCCGAGACCAGAAAACCCCCTCCCAACAAACATGATCAACCCCAGTCATGTTCTTCATCACATTTTCTTCATGAGGCTCTGCTTCCCCTTTCACTTCGTCTGGAAACAGCACCAAAAACTCCAGCAAAGAGAGAATTTGTTTGTATTTAAAATTAGGATACTTTTAGATGAGATACTGGGGAGAAATCCTTCCCTGTGAGGGTGGGGAGGCCCTGGCCCAGGGTGCCCAGAGAAATTGTGGCTGCCCCATCCCTGGAGGTGTCCAAGGCCAGGTTGGACTCATTCTTGTCATGTTTTTCATGGAATCACAGGACTGTTTGGGCTGGAAGAGACCTTAAATCTTATCTCATTCCAACCCCCTGCCATGAGCAGGGACACCTTCCTAGTGTCCACCTAGAGTAGGTTGCTCAAATCCCTGTCCAGCCTGGATTTGAAGCAA